TTTTAAAATGTGATTCTGGCAGCTGAGGTCAAAACAGATTATAAATGGTCCACGTGAGGTTGATGGTAACTTGGACTTGCGTGGAGGCAGAGATAGAACAGATGGACTTACTATGTCAGAGGGAGACGGCAGGACTCGATGCGGGGCTGAGGGAGTGGCGGGAGTCCAGGGTGACTCCAGGCTTCTGGCTTCAGGAGCAGTGACATTTACTGAGAAGGGGGAAGACCGGAAGTGGAATCCTTAATTCTATAACCATATCAAGGCAGTGATTATTATGGTTCTAATGAGAAATTATTCAACCTATTGTTATTTTAATGCTTCTGTTACATGGTTCTCTAGACAATAACAGCTTGGCAGCTAACAGCTCAGCAACCCTCCATGACTCACTTTAAATAAGTGTTAATCAAATATTTTGATTGATGGAAACATTATCTCAAGGGACAATTCAATTCCAAGGTTCTACCCTGAAAGAGCAAAGGCCAGCCAGTTCTTCGTTTGATCCTCCTGAACCAAGTCTGTGTTGTGCGAGGCTGGCAGACTCCTGTTCCCCTTTTTGGAAGCAATGCCGAGTAACATCATTTGGGAAGCAGGGGGACGGGAGGGCTTTGCAGTCTCTTGCCTGGAGCGGAGATGATGTTAGGGTCACTTTCAGCACCTTCTCTTCTGTCGTTCCTGGGGTGAGTAGCTCACATAGTCCATTTTGAAACTAAGTGACATGGTCTTAATTGAACTTTCCCAAGAAAATGTAAAAAGAACCTGACTGGACTCTTAGGAGGTCTTTGACAAAAAGCCTGTAGGTTATTTCAGTCCCGTCCCGCCCAGCTCTATGCAAGAGGGAGCCCGGCCCTACACCCACACTTTACAGGGACCCATTTTGGCCCTTCTCAGTTCCGTCCTTCTTTGTGGGGCAGGTAGTTCACAGGACCTAAGGATGTGCCCACCCAGAACCTGTGTCCTTCCTTCTAGACCACATTTCAGATACCCGGGATTCCCGGAATTCTCCACCCAAACAGCCCTGGGGATCAGGGGTCCAGAAGCTCCAAGGCCAGGGCCAGGCTGTCCCCACACAGTCCTGTTTTCAGCACAGAATTCTAAGGAGTCGAACCTGGGCTTCCAGATTGTTATGAACAATTTGTCAAGGACAAGGACAGAAAATATTTTAACCATTTATTAATGTGATTTATAACTTGTGAACATTTATCCATATGGTAAGTGGGTCTCTGATTATATTCTCATCCCAGGCCCTGCCAGTGTTGGGGCAGGCCTGAGTGAACCCCATTAAAATATATCACCATGGTGAGGATTGGTTGTTTATGCTGTGACAGATGGTTTTGAGGGCAAACCTAAGACCTTGGACTTTCTAAAACAAGGTTTGTGAATGGAGTTTACGTAAACTACTTCACCATGGTAGAGGGTCTAATGGTCTGGGGTAACAAACCAGGCTGACAGCAGTCCTCATCTCACTCGGGGTCTTCCTACACTTGACCTGGAGACAGAGCCGAGAAAGGCAGGGGACCACCTCAGCCCCCCATCTGGGGGAAGCAAATGCCCCAGCTGCTCCCTGGAGAGATCGTGGGGAGCAGCCTGAGCAGGTGAAGCCATGGGTTTCTATCTTAGGTATTTGCTCTTCATTGGAATAAACATCAGCAAAGCAGCTCAGTTCCTTCCAGGGCTCTGATGGGAAGGGTGAGGGCCCGTTTCCACCACCCAGTGTTAACATTGCCTGGAAGTCCTACGGAACCTCAGTAAACAACACCCCTCTCTCTCTCTCAACCCCCTTTCTCTCCCTCTTTCCACTCCCCCTCTTTCCTCCCCACCCACCCCTCCTTGTCTTTTCTCCCTCTTCTCTCCTCTTCTCTCTTTCACCATCTGCAGTAAACCGGTCCCCTTCTCGCTGCAGCGGGTTGAATCGCTCAGAGTCTCCGAACCGCGAGCGCAGCGACTTTGGGGGAAGCAACACGCAGCTGTGCAGCAGCAGCAACAACCTCTACACGCCCGACTACTCGGTCCACATCCTCAGCGACGTGCAGTTCGTGAAGGTAACTCCCCAGGAGCGTGGTCCGCTCTCTCCCTGCAGGCAGAGTTGGCTGGGGCAGTGGGACAGGAAGACCCCTGGCCCTAGGCATAATGTGCACCTCATTTCCCTGTGTTCCAGTATAATACTGGGTGGTAATTGCTCCCTGGCTTTATACAGGCCCTGTGTTCAGTAGCTTGATTACTGTTCACTGTTGTCACTCTTTTAAGATCTCCTGATTCCTATATTTCATATGGGGAAACTGAGGCACAAAGCAATAGAAGATTAGCTTGCCTGAGACAAGTGGCTGGCAGAACTGTTTCCTTTGCATTCCCCATCATTGGCACCAGGTTGATTTTATTTTATTTTTCAAGATAAATTTGCAGGTGACTAAATGTGGAGAAGAAACCATGCTATGATTTCACGTATGGTAGTATATTTTTACACCTTAATATTTAAAGTCTAAAACACAATTGGGAGTCTGGCTGGTTAGCTCGGTTGGTTAGATCACAGCCTTATGACACCAAGGTCATGGGTTTGGATCCCTCAAAAAAAAACCCAAAAATACCCCACAATTGGGTGTGTGTGTCAACTGAAAATCCTTTGTAGGAACTAGTAACACCCACTCAGTGTCGCTGAGCTATTTGAAGAGAACCACTCTGCAAATGCCACGGAGGGGGGCAGCATGCTCACTGCCTTGTAATTAAAGAGGAGGGGAGCTGTTTCTTCATACCCTTCATTGGGGTTGGCATTGCACAGAAGCCTTTTAAATTTCCCATCTTTCTCTTGCTTCAATAGGTTTTATTCTGTTTGTTTTGTGTTCTGGCATTCTGCAAACCGTTACAAACTTTGGCCTGAAATCTGGCTAGAGCCCCATTTATCCCTTTCCAACAAAACACCCAGTGAGTTCACTTGGTAACTGTTGTCCCAGTTGCAGGCTGGGTAATAGGAGGTGTGCTGAAATCACAAAGGTAGGAGAAGGCTCTTTCCTTCTGTCCAGAACACGCCCTGATTATTTGGACAGCATTGTATGCTGGATGGCTTTTTGTGTTCCAGAACTCTGCAGACACCCTGAGCTAAAAATGACATCAGGCAACAAAAGTAACCATGAAAAGTAACCATGGAAAGTTGCCAGAGGGAGGGGAAGAACCTAGGGTGGGATAATAACTATTGCTTGTGGCATGCTCTGTGCAAGACATTTTACTGAGTCCTTTGTCTGAATTATCCACTTAATCTCCCAACCACCCTGTGAGGCAGGTCTACTGTCATTCCCATTTTATAGATGAAGAAGTTGAGGCTTGAGGAGCATAAATACAAGGCCACATGGCTAGTAAGTGGCAGAGCCAAGCTTCAAAGTTGAATCTCTTTGCCTTCAGAGTCCAATCCCTGAAATCACTGGGCTTTAAGGAGAGTTGTAGGACATGAGAGCTGGAGGAGCCAGGGACAAGTGACTTTAGGAACCAACGAAGCAGTACTCGCGGGTGTGTCTGACTGTGGACATGTAATGAGTTTAACGTGACAAGGAGGTTACCCCTTAGAAAACTGAAGCCCGTGATTCTCCTCCCCGTGGCTTCCAGCCTTGAGGCCCTTTCATTGCTTATACAGACCCTCCTTAGAAGTGAAGGTAGGGAAAAATGGGAGAAGAGAAACTCTAATATGCTAACTCTTGGTGTGTAGTACCGGGCACATGGTTCATGGAAAAAGAGATGAAAAGTCATACTATGAGTATGTCATTCAACAAATATTTAATGTGTGCCTGCTCTGTCCTGGCATTGATGAGATACTGTGGTGAAGACAGCCAGCGGCTGCCTCTCTGGGGCTAACATGTAACAGGGGGAGAAAGATGATAAACAAGTCACCACGTAAATAACCTAGTGTAAATCTACACAACTACGTCAATTGTCAGGTTACAGCCATTGCTATGCTAATTGTAGAGTTAGGCAATTCATAATTAAAGCCAAAACGTTTCATTATTTTAGTTATACTAAGTTTCCATTCGTATCATCAGGGCTAGGGCTCCGACTCGCCAAACCCATTGTACAGACTGGGTCACCAGACCCCTCACATGCCAGGCTGGGTCACCAGACCCCTCACATGCAGGTCCATGCTAGGTAATTGGGAAGGATCCCAGGAGCCATTGGCAGACGACATGAGCTCAGTCCTCAGCAGTAGCAGCAGCAGCGTACAGAAGCGGTAGCATCAGGAGCAGTAGTGGCGGTGGCCTCTCGGGGCATCCAGGGGCACTGGCAGCAACAGCCTCCAGCAGCAGTAGCGGCCTCCTTGCCAGCCCCCCTGGGGACATCCCGGGGGCAGGGGTCCCTGTGGATCAGAGCCACTCATCCTTTATACTTAAGTCCATAACCCAGGACACCTGAGTGCACATGCACAATTACATTAGACAATAACCAAGGAACATCTGGATGCACGTGCGTATTTATATCAAATGCTCGGCAAGATTCTGAACATCTGAGGGGCCCTGACCATTTTCCTTCACTTTCCCTACACCTAGGTAAGTTCAAGAAGGCATAAGGGCCATGAAGGAAATAAGCAGGATCCTGGAGTAAACACTGACTGGGCAAAGGAGGCTGCTTTTGAAATGGTTATCAGAGCAGGCTGAGAAAAGGACATTTGCTGAGACCTGAAAGGAGAGGTGGGAAGAACGTTTAAGATTGAAACAGCAGAGGCAGGAAGGAGCTTGGTAGTTCAAGGGTCTGAGTGCTGGTCCATGACATGCTAAGGTGGAAGCTGGTGTGAAAGGAGAGTGGAGCACAGAAGCAGCATCACCTGTGATCTTCAGGCCATAGTAAGGAATTCAGATTCTGTTTTAAGTGCAGTGTGAATTTTTGTTAAATTTGTTTCTCACATCTTTTCATTTGTCTTAGTTTGGGCTGCTGGAACAAATTACCATACACTGGGTGGCTTAAACAACAAACATTTATTTCTCACAGTTCTGGAGGCAGAGAAGTCCAAGCAAGGTCAAGGTGCCGGCAGATCCATGTCTGGTGAGGGCTCACTTCCAAGCTGCAGATGGCCCCATAGTATCCTCACGTGGTGGAGAGCAGAAAGAAAGCAAGCTCTCTCCTTATAAGTCACTAATCCCGTTCGTGAGGGCCCCACTCTCATGACCTAATTACCTCCCAAAGGCCCCACCTCCTAACAGCCTCATGTTGGGGGTTAGGATTTCAACATATGAATTTTGGGAAGACACAGACATTCAGTCCATAACCATTTATATTATAAGTTCAGAAAATCAATATGAGGATTTGGTTTGCTGCTTTGGGGAAAAAAGTGAATGAGATTTTGAGGAGTTATGTTTAATGAGCAACTGTGGAGAGCCCAGAGTTTTCCAAAACATCATTAGGTTTGCATAGATTAGAGAGCTCTTTTAGGAGATGGATTTGGCAAAGCTCAAAGACGAATGCCTGACAGGAAATTTGTAAGGATTTTTTGAGATTTACAGATGATCTATAGCTCCATCCCTAAAACATAAGGAAAGGGAACATTATACAAATAACAAGGAAAATAAAGGGGAGGTCTCTTTCCTGGAGTGAGACAGTGGCAGTGTCCCAGTCCCAGGTCAGTGCTCAGGCACAGGTGTCTATCCTTTCCTTCAGACCAGCGGACCTTGCTCTGACCATGCAGCTAAGCAGCACCGAACATGGTCCTTTTTTTTTCTACCTAGATATTTTGAAATTGAAAAGACCAAATGTCAAAAGTAGAAGTCGAGTGGAGGTTGGAACCAATTAAAGCATTATTCAGAAACCTCTTTAAACCTGTGGCTTTTGTCTCTTAAAAACTTTGATTGTAGTGGGTAGTCCTACACATAGGGACTTTGTGAGTTCAAGCTGTTGTTTTAACAGTGTTTGGTTTGGTTTGGTTTTCTCTTTTATTTTGTTTTTTAATGTAAGATTATGCCTTAGGCTATAGATGAAAATTACTCCTCTTGATTCAATACACTTTGTTAGGGCCATTATTTAGGCTGTTCTTTTATATACCTGTCTCACCTGTCTCCCTCCCCCCCACCTTTTTTTTTTAACATGAGAAGAGTTTTTCAGGAAGCTAAAGACTACACAAGAGAAGTATTTTCACAGGCCGAAGCCCCTGTGGCTGGTTTTGCAAGCTTTTGCACAGGCTTTTGCAAGGACTTTTCATGTCCAATGGACTGAGGTTCCAGAATTGTTTAAGTCTGAGAGTAATTGGACTTCAAGATAAGTTACAAAACTAGACAAAATGTGCATCTAATGATTATCTGGGAAAAGTATTAAAACTGTGACTAATAGTAGCTAATAAGTTATGAAGGTAACAAAGAATCCTTATTAATTTTTTGAAACATTTCTACAAGTATCACTATTAAACAAGATATTTGCTTGATATATTAAATGTCTGGATTGTGTAATCTTGACCAAGATGCCCCATCACCATCTAGTGGCAGAATCCCTAAATTTCAAGATCATGTTTTGAGGGATGAGTAAACTGCCTGAAAATTGAAAATGCGAACAAAACATTATAAAATGACAGGAAACATCACATTAGCTAAAGGTTAACTTCTGGACAACTTGACTGCTAAGTCAAAATGTCCAAAAAGGTAACCTTACTTTTTGCTAGTTTCAATATAAACAGATATTCTTTTCTTTATAATTTAGAGTGTGCTTGAATTCTTAACTGGCCAAAGTACAAGAGAAGACAATTTGAACTGAAGCTATTTCTAAGAAATAGTTGTATCTACAGCAATGAAGAGAAAATAAAAACATATCTTTTGAAAAGTAATTTGATTCCCTCAATCAACTAATCAATAAGTATTCATTGAGCATTAACAATGGTTCTGGGTACCATGAAACATACTAAAGAAACATAAAATATAAAAACATATCCTCTGCCTTTAAAAGTAGATTAAGATCTAGTTAGGGAGAGGTAACATAAGTTAAATAACAGTGACCAATGCAGGGTAGTATCTAAGTGGTTACAAAACTAGGTGGCATTTTTAAAGCACTATATTGGCTGGAGGATGTACTGGACATTTAAAAATTGGGAAGGAATAAGAGAGGTGGTGCCATGTAGAGGACACTCATAAACAGTGCTATGACAGGCAAGTAGACATGGTACACTCAAGGGACGTGAAAAGAGAGGAGCTGGGCTGGGCCAGCGGTTCTGCACTGGCGAGTAGCAGGAACTGTTGGCCGTGCAAGGCTGCATTATCAGAACTGGGCAGAGCAGTTTAGGTTGATCTCCTAGGCCTTCCCTGTCTAATACAGTAGCCAGCAGCCACATGTGGGTCATCCAGATTAACGTGCTATATGTGTAAAAAACACATTGGATTTTAAAGACTTAATTTTAAAAATGTCAAATTCCTCATTTATTATTTTATATTAATTACATGTTGAAGTGAAATAATTTCAGATATATGAGGTTAGATGAAATATATTATTAAAATTAACTTCACCTGTTTCTTTTTACTTTTTTTAATGGGACTACTAGGAAATGTTTAATTACCTATGTGACTCACATATTTCTACTGAGCAGTACCAGGCTAGGTAAAAAGACATTGCCGTAGGCTGTCGAACGAGGGAGGGAACTGTCGAGAGGGACGCTTGGCTCCAGCAATGCAGCTGTATACATTTGCAGCATGTATACATTGCCCCCCCGTATACATTTTCCAGAGGCGTGCCTTGTCAGCAAGTTATTTTAAGGCAACACTGACATAGCAGTCGTTCATGATTTTCTCTTTAATTTTAAAAAGAGGAAGCAGTGTGAAAGCAGGGCTGTGAGACACATAGAGAAGGCAACCAGCAGATGGTGACTTTCTTCCGTACAACTGCCCACCCCTAGCGCAGACCCTCCCCGGCCTCACTCCTCCCCACGTACCTGGACCAACCCCTCCGCACCCCCATTCACACTGCCATGCTTCTTCCCATTAATGCTAGATCCTGGCTGTAGCTGTCTGAATCTGCTCTTTAGCACCACTGACAGGTGGTGGTTTAACATCTGTGTGAACGCCTCCAGTGACGGGGAACTCAGTAGCTTAAGAGGAACCCTATTGCGTTTACTCTGTATTGTTACCAAAAGTAAAACAGTATTGTGTTCCCATCCTGTCCTCCATAACAATGCTTAAAGAGAGAGTTAGAGTTCCTGCATCCTTGATTCCAGATAACTGGAGGGGCATATCACTGTTTCTTAAGACCAAGGAGAGGTTGGTACCACTCACTGCCAGTAAAACTCGGACAGAACCTTTCCAAACATAAATAAATGAGTTAAATAAACTAGAGCATTCGCAACAGTTGTCACTGCCAAGAGGCTTTTAGCTTGGGGAACACAGCCAGTCTACCAATCAGATAGCAGCCCTAAGCCAGCAAATCCATTTCAATGTCAGACTGAAACATGCCCTTTTCCTTCTCTCTTCCTCCTCTCTTTTCTTCATTCAATGTCTCTTCTTCTCCATCTTATTTTTCCCATTTTCCCTACTTGGCATTTCTTCCTTCCCCACTTACTCTTTTGCTTTATTTTCTTGGTTAAGGATTTACTTTCCCAAGACCTAGTCTTGCCTTCACAGCACCTCCAGTTGCACTGACTCTGGGGGCACAGGGGCCACAGCTCCCTCTCCCACCCCACCTCATGGTGTACCATGGGCATTCGGCCATGATGAGATGGCAGGTTTGAGCCCTGTCTGTGAAATGTAGGCCCATTATAAAGTCGAACTGTGAGACATGAAGGTGGACATGTTTTAAACAATCACTCCTAACAGTTATATAACACATTCACTCATGTTATCTCATGATCTCTGGTTCTCTTACAAGCTCAGAGAGGTTAATGATTTGACCAAGGTTGCTGAACTTGAAAATGGCAACACCAGTACTTGAACCTCGGTCTTGAACAGGCAGTGTGCTTCCTGCCATATTTTCCAGGTGAAGGGCCAGTTGGCCTTCTTTGACTAAACTAGAAGCCAAATCTGAACTAACTAGTTTAAAGAACCCAAATAGAGTAAGATCAACTGCTTTGTTGCTCTTATCAAGTGTCATTTAGCAAATTTTCTTGTCCTTTGGTGTTAGGACCAAATTTCCCTATCTTTGGGGGAAATTTTGGAACCTGACTAATCTTCTCAATTCCCAACAGAGGGGGCTGCAAAAGTCAGGTGTTCTCAACAAGAACATTTAATCTATTGAAGACTTTGGACAAATGCTAAGTTGAGACCCATCATTTCACGCCATAAAGCACAGAACCTATAGTTTTGACCTGAAAAATATCAAAGCTTCTTTATCCTTTACATTTATTTAGAGTGAAAAAATCAACACCTGAGTAGGACCTGTGTCTGATTTTAACTAGGTCTTAAGTCAGTGGTTCTCAAAGTGTGATCTCCAGAGCAGCACATCAGTATCACTTGTAACTTGCTAGAAATGCAAATTATCAGTCTCCACCCCAGACTGAGTGAATTGGAAACTTCAAGAGTAGGGCCCAGCAGTTTTGTTTTAATAAGCCCTTCAGGTAATTCTAACACTGTGGTTTGAGAATCACTGATTTAAACCATCAAGAGAACTATATTTGCCCACTCAAATGCGCAGCAGTGTGATTAGAATCCTGGAATCTGCAGGTGTGTCCATTAAGTGTTGCAAAAAGATACACATTCTTCATTGCTGTTTTGTGATTAGATTAGTTGTGCTTAATTAGTATTTGCTTGATGCTCATGCAAAATATCCTGAAGTTTGTTAGAGAAGAAAGGATTGATAATGTCCAATAAAGCAATGGGTCCCCCCCTTGGAGGGAAATAGTAGATTTCTCTTTATGAAGAGGTAACATTGCCTGAATGGCTGTTGAGGTTAAATATTTTGGCAAAGATTGTGACCTAATATTCAGAATGAATGCTAAATAATTCACGAAACAGGAGATTATGTCTAGAACCTCTTGTTACATTGGTGATTTTAATATATTTTGGAGTAATTGGAGGACCATAGGATCTAGAAAATGTAGCAAGAATATCATAGAAAAATAAAGCAGGATAAAGTAATTCAGTCAATAAAAAAGACCAGAGTGACAGCCTGCACAGGAAGGGAAGGAGGAAAGCCTGGTGGCTGAGGAAGGCGGAAGTCAATGAGGGATGGTGGAGTCAACCCAGACGGTGTGACTGATGAGCAGTTGAGGACTGGCTAGGCCTTGGGCTTGACTATCACCCATAGACCCCCAGCGAGGCCATGCGAGAAGCCAGAGGGGAAAGGAAGGCTTGGAGGGCAGGGGCTAAGGTTTCATCCTGTGATGGGCTAAGCCCAAATCAGAAACGCCTGCGCGCTCTCAAGCCTCAACCTCCGGCCTCTTGACGGTAACACCTGGGGCAAGAGAGCTTTCCTTACCAGAGTCCTGCCTTGTCCTCACCAAGTCTCCATGGACTGGCCCTCAGGAAGAGGGACCTTGGCAGTGGTATTAGATGTGTGTTTTAAACTTCTCCATGGACAGCCAGCCTGCTGACTGAAGATGCACTCCATCCTCTCCAGGGTCTCAAGAGAAGAAGGTTTGGCTCCTTCTGGTGCACTTTAAGAGTCTAGAGCACGTAAAAGTGAACTGTGGGAACTGGTGGTAAACAAGCAAAGGGCCCCGCATTGTCCCCCAGCTGCTGTGCTGGTACAGCTTGGGTAAGGCCCCCGGTTCATGGATCTCAGGCCTCAGAGGCCAAGGGTTCCAAGCACCCCAGTGGGGCTGCTTCTGGGCTCAGGAAGGCTGGCTGTGTCCAGGGAGTGCTCTGCCTGGCTCCTCTTGAGCTTCTGCCCACTTCCTTCCAGATCACACGGCAGCAGTACCAGAACGCACTCACTGCCTGCCACATGGACAGCTCACCCCAGTCCCCTGACATGGAAACCTTCACTGACGGAGACTCCACCAAGGCCCCAACGACTCGGGGCACACCCCAGACACCCAAGGAGGACCCTGCCATCACACTGCTGAACAACAGAAACAGCCTGCCGTGTAAGTCAGCCAGGCGGGTGGGCAGGGCTGCTGTGGGGTAGGGACAGCCCTGCCCAGGGCTGCCATCTGTGCCCTGTGGAGCCCCAGGTCTTCTCCCAAGCAGAGAGGTGATGCATTCACTGTCCTCCCCAGGCAGCCGCTCAGATGGGCTGAGAAGCCCTGGCGAGATAGTATACCTGAGGATGGAGGAGATAGCCTTCACCCAGGAAGAAATGACTGACCTCGAGGAGCCCAGTACACAGCAGCTTTCACTGTCTCCTGCAGCTGTTCCCACAAGAGCAGGTCAGGAAGGGTGGACTGGGCCCAAAGGAGCAAGGGGGATCACCACTGGGATGACCCAGAGAGAGCTGGGCGAGGGTGAGGGGAGCCCTGAGACCCCAGCCTCCATGTTAAAGCTCCATCTCCTTACACAGCCGGGGAAAAGAAACTGACATTTACTGAGCACCCACCGTGCATCAGGCCCCATCTAATTCATTCTCCCGGGAAAACTGTGTAGCTAGGTTTCTTCCTGAATTCAGACCCTGGCTCCTCCTTCATTTAGGAGCTATGCAGTTTTAGGTAAGTTAGAGCTCTGAGTATAAATGAGATGACATACATAAATGCACATTACAGTGTTTGGTACCAGGCTCTATAAATATGAGGTAGTTATTCTTAGGCCCTTGTACAGATTACGAAGTTGAATTAGCCATCACTCTTACCAGCAGGACTCTTCCCCCACTTTAGGCCCCAGACACCAAAGGTAGTCTGTGGGACTTTTTCTGAGGTCTCAGATCAGATCACCTTCGTCTGAGACACTGAACACTTCTGCCTTGGCAGTGGTTTGCTCCAAGCTCCCACTATCCCAGCAGTCCTTAGCTCCTTCTGTGTGGCCTCGCTGAGGCACATTTCCCCAAGCTGTCAGCAGCCCCCCATCCCCTCCCCTCAGCCCAGCAGTTCCCCTGCCTGACCTTTCAGACCTACCCCAATCCATAGTCTGAGACCCGTCAAGTCCAGAGCAATGACCTGAAAAGTGCTCATAGATTTTTAAGGTCAATGAGACAACATATTTGAACTTGCGGTTAACCCAGAAAATCTGTAACATACGTATTCACCATTCCAGGGCCAAATTTAGTAGCTAAAGCATGTAGCAAGAAAATGTAGCAAAGGAATAAGAATAGAGGCAATGGGGTAGTCTGGAGACCATCTAGTCCACCCTCCTCGTGTGACACACGAGGACCCTTGAGGCCTAAAGAAGGAAAATGACTTGTCCAAGTCCAAATATTGCATTAGAAACAGGCCTAGCCTCGTGGCCTTTGGTGCAGTGCAGCTTCCAACACACCACTTTGCCTCCCTGGTTAGGTTCTTACTGCATTTGCGATGAGGCTTGGACCCCTCCCCAGCTCTGAGATTCTGTGGCTCCCTGAATCCCCACTGAGTCCTGTGGGAGAAGACAGGGGCACGTGCTTCATTGTCACTGAGCCCTGTGGTTTTCCAGGGCTTGTGCAAGTAGAGGAAGGAGATGTCCCTGCCTGTCCTCAAATGTGCGTTTTGTCTGGCAAAGATACTGGGTGGAGAACATACTGTTTTCTTCCCATCTCTCTTGCCGAACAGTGTTTGAGGAGAGGGAACTATTTGACTTTGTATGGACTGTTGGATTCCTACTCTTGTTCTCCATCTCTTTTTCCCTTTCATGGCAGTAAAATGCCTCTTGCTAACACTTTCCCAGGCATCCCTGCCTTGTTACACCCACCCCTGCCTTGGCTCTTAAATGCTCACCTGCTGAGGGACATCGCCCAGAATCACTCTGCCTCAATCCTTGTGCATGTAGGTTGCAAAGACTTGAGTTCTCCCTTCTTTTCTTTCAGCATCAGATAGTGAATGTTGTAACATCAACCTGGATATGGAAACCAGCCCTTGCAGTAGCGACTTTGAGGAAACCATGGGAAAGAAGCTGCTGAGGACCTTGAGTGAGTAGCTAACTCTTCACCCAGACGAAAGTCACCCAGAAGCCAGTTAGTAGGATGTTAGGATCTTCCCCCTGGGGAAGGAACCACTGACTCCCTTTGGGAACCCTAGTGAGGAACAATTGTGGCAGTGCACAGTAGGGCTTAGGCCAGTACTGCACCCTTGATAGTTTGGGGACCCGTCTCATTCGGTTGTTGGTCCTCTAGAACAGGAGTCTGCAAAGTATGCCCACAGGTCAATTCTGACCTCCTTTCTCCACCTGTTTTTGTAAATAAAGACTAATTGGACCATAGACAGGCTCATTTGTTATCCTAAGGCCCCAATGGCACAGTTAAGTGGTTGTGAAGAGATCATATGGCCCACAAAACTTATAATATTCACCATCTAGTCCTTTAAAGAAAGAATTTGTGTCAAGAGACTGAATAGAAAAGAAAGCAATATCCTGTATAGGTGGACATCAGTGACAGAGAGGACAAGGTGGAAATAGTCCTTTCTACAAACAACAAAGCTGAGAACAGACTGCTCTTACATCCTTGAGGACAATTATGTCATTACTCCCACCTGCCCCAATGCAGAAGGGAGGTTGCTTCAGAGTTGGAGAATGTAGGTCCCTGAGAATGGTTCCCAGCTCCACCCAACAACCCTGGCTCATGGAACATCAGAGCCTGTGAGAGAAGTCCTCTCTCAGAGGTGTCTGGCAGTCGGTAGGGCTGGGGCCCTCAGGGCGGTGGGAAAGCATAACCCAGAGTTATTACATGGGCTTTACCCAATGTCCTCCAAGAAATCTCAATTCAGGCTCTAGCCTGGGTTTGTGGCTTTTCAGAGATGTCGTCTTATGTGGAAGGTGCATTCTAATCCTTCGAGATGGAAATATGCTGCTATCAGCATCAGGATCCAACACAGATTAGTTCCAGCCAAACCGTCCAGGGCTTTGTCTCCATTTCTGCTTCTGTTTTAAAGAGAGTGTATGTCTCTTTAAAAGCGATTTAGATCGCTGAGAGTGTATGTCCTCCCAGTCTTACAGATTGATAATTACAATCTGTTTTTCAGGTGGTCGAAAAAGGAAGAGGTCAACAGATGGAGAGAGAACCTCTGAGGAAAACTCCAATTTAATGCCTCTGATCACATGACAGGCAAAGACAGCACTCGCTGGGTGTGTGAGATTCCAGAGCTTTGGGGGAGAACCCACCCTCCCATCATCTGCTTCCCCCCAAGGCCTCCCACAGGTGACAAAGTGTTCTGCCTTTCTTTCTACATCTTCTGTCAGTTTGTCTTTCCACCCCTAGCTGTCAGTTTGGCAGATTTTCCCTTGTTGCCTCCAATTTGACTCAGAGCCTTGCCATGGCCATAAAGAAAGGAGGTGCCTCTGATGGAACATGCCAGAAATGGTCTTGTCCACAGCACAGTCGGGGACTGGAGAAGAGATGACCCCAAGCTGACAATGCTACTCTGGGACCGCTGATTGTTTCTTCTTTGTTCTTCAGGATCTCCTGATGCCACAGGAGACCCATGTCCTGGAACTCACCCTTCTTTACTGCAGAACAAAATAACTTTCTACCATATTTCATTCTTAGCTTAGCTCAGAAGGTGTCACTGGGAGACAGGCACATAGGAAGCTGGAGTAGCAGGTATGATGATTATTCAGGTCATGGACCAAGAACTCCTTCAGAAATTTAGAGCAGTGGGATTTAGCACTGTTGATGCGTATGTGATTGATCTTACAGCCCAGAAAACTGTCAGTGACTGGTTTCCTGATAGATAAGGGTTCCAGCAGCCTGGAGAGTATGTCTCAGCTGGAAAGGAAAAAATGTGAGATGGAAACTCAGGTCACTGTTTTGCCCAGGGATATACCTATTTTGGCTCCCAATCAGCAGTCATCAATCGGTAAATAAATCTGCTCTGGAAGAGGAAGAGCAGAGAGACCCAGTGGGGAGCCAGAAATGGAAGTTCAGGTTTTAAGTGCAAATCAAAGAAAAAAAAGCTTATATGAGATTATCCTCAGCTGTTAAAGCAAGTTTAGCCATGACAAACCAAAGAGTGCCCAGGTCAGCCAAGAAGGATGCATGCTCTCATGGGGCTTCAGTATGCATTACACAGGAATGTTGAAGAATCGCTCTTCTTTTTCATCCATTCTCCCCATGCCCCAACCCTTTACCACACCCCAGCAGGTCAGCTAAGTGTACTTTGTTCCAGGAACTTACTCGATCTCCAGTTTTTCTCCAGGATGCTGGTGCAGGTGCAATCCCATGAGTTATCACCAGATGGCAGAATGACTACACATACCTACTTCCAAGAATAAAAGAATTCTGATCAGGAACCACAGCTGGCCTTAGGGAAAATTTGGAAGTAAGTGAAGTTTGTCTTTGAGGCACCTGTCTCCCTTTCTGATCTATCTCCTACCCCTTGGGTGCGCTCAGTCAGGAGCCCAGTGATCCAGTGCTGCCTGCTGAATCTCCAAACCATTCCTAAACACTTCCCTGTGGTGTACCATCAGGCTTCTCTCTCCTTCCTCCAAAATTATTACTCCCACCTTCCCACACCCATTTAATCATTAATCACACGGGGAGGGGAGAGACTGATAATTCCTCTGGGTTATTTGCATCTCAAAAGAAAATGCTTACCCACAGGAACCTTTAACTCAGGGGTTCTTAACTTGGGGTCCATCACTCCAGGGAGTCCACAGTTGGACTTTGGAGAGTCTATGAAACCCCTAAAACTGTAAGAATTTAGTGTATGTATTGTGTGTGTTTTCCAGAGGGTTACAGCTTTCATAAGATTCTCAAAGCTCTCAGACCCACAAAGGATTAAAAAACACACTATTTTAAATAGCAGAACTTACAGCCCAGAATTTCTGCAATGCAGAGTAAAGTGAACACTGGGTAGTTCAAGGCAGATTTTTAATTACAAGGGGTCTTCTCAAGTGTCCATCCATCAGTGGGGAAGGCTGGCACCCACCAAGAACTGGGTGTCCTCAGAAATTCTTGGCACACCTTACAGTATTGTACAACCTTCACCCCACACACCTTTGTCCCCACTTCTCCACCAAACCAGAGCAGGTGTTGCAAACAGGAGGTCCAAAGCACGTGGGAAAAAAAATGTTGGAGCTAGAGTTGCCTTTTCCAGCAATGTATTATTGACTTCCACACACCCTTGCCTGGCCAGCCCGGCCTGAGCTCGGCAGTGCATGACTTCTCGCAGATGATTCCACCGCCAGCCCCTCCCAACACCTGCTCTTGGTAGGAATAGGCAAGGTGTCAGCACTCAGTGCTGCTGCCTCGGACCCAAACCAGTAAACGGTGAGTTTTGAGCAAGAACTGCCATCATGCAGTCTTCTTGCCCAGCTGGCTACTGGCCCAAGGGGGCCTGCCTGGCTAGTCTTCCTTTCGTTACCCCTCAGGCCACCAGGCCTAGGCCACCGCTGTTGCATTACATCCATCCCTTTGCAAAACCTGTATGGAGCCTGTCACCACTCCCCTGCCTATACTGCACCCCACCCCCCCAAAGATATTATTCAGGTTAAAAAAAGTTTAAAAAAATGATTTTAAAGTAAAGCATTTGTGAAGGTTCAATAAATTGTAAATAATTTTTAAATAAAATGAAAATGTCTTTCCTGGAATGTGGCTATTTTTCTTGCCTCTGGCATCTTGGAACTCCAAAGTGGTTTTATTTGAGATGCAGGTTGGGTGGTGCTCATGTAATTATCTCACCTGTGGCCCACCTGCCTGGAGAGGCACGCCCCTCAAGGTCAGGTGTGAGGCTGCAGTAAGGTTACAGGAAAGCCTTGGCACTCTACATTGGGAGGCCAGATGGGTAAGATTTTGCAGGAGTGAATGCCAGAAATGGGAAGTAAAAGCCAAACGAGAAGCTGGAGTTTGAGTGAAGACAAGGAAGGAGCACTAAGAAGATAAGGGCTGGCATTTGTTGAGCCCGTGTGATGGGTGAGACACTGCTAGATGCTGTCCAAGTTCAAGGTCTTGGGCTGCAGACCCAGACGAGTCCCTGAGACAATATGCTGGTCACTTTGACTTCTGCAGATCAGAAGCCTTAACCAAAAGCTGGGGAAAGGGACAGGGGAGTGGGCCAGGCTTATTGGTCAGTTTTAAACCAATGCGGGAGGGAGGGGTGAGCCTGGCATGGGCAGATATGTTTGGGCATCTAATATCTTTGTGGAAGGAAGGCTGGAATCTGACACCTGCTACTAATTTCTCAAACCTGCAAACAGGATGATTAGAGGCAATGCCAGAACCACTTACGTTTCCTCCCAGGAGCCTCAATAGAGGCTATTCATTTCATTAACAGTAATAATAAGTGGTAATAACAACTATTTTCCTAAGCTCTTTATGTGCCAAGTATCATACTAAGTATCCATTAGCTCATTTCTTTCTCAAAACCACCTTGTAAAGAAGGATGTCTATAAAACTGTCCATTTTATAGACTATGAAATGGGCTCTGAGAAGCTGGATAATTTGCTCAGGTTACACAGCCAAGGACCTGGCAGAGCCTGGAGATATGAGAGCCCTGCTCATGAGAAGGCAAAATTTGTGAAAGAATCCTACCTTTAAAATTCACGGTGCACATCCGCATGTTAAGAGGCCCTGAAAAAATCCTGCAGCTTTTCCCAAGTTTACACAGAGCCCTTTTTCACATTAACATTCATGGAAAATTAGAGTACAGCGGGAGACTGACCAAAATATATGTAAGCATAGAATTAAGGCCAAGTCCCCATTGAGAGTGGGGCTTTTTTTAAATGCTAAAAACATTTTAGCACTTTGGTACTGGCACTTAAGTTTAAAGAAGTGTTTAACTATTTTTAATGGCTTTAGCGCCCCCCCGACCCCGCAAAGAGAAAAATTAAATTGAAAATCTCCCTAACAAGAGAAATTAAATACTAAGAAATAAGATTTTGTCAGGTAGGATTGCACTTTGGAGGGCCACAAATCATTTTAATATATCAGACGTTTTTGGCCCCAAGAACCAATTCTTGCCTCCAAGGAGATAGTACCATCTTCGTGGAAAATGCATGGGTTACAGCTATGTTTGGAGAGAGATACAAGATCAACAGAAGGTAGAACCATTTGACTTCTGTTTTGGCTGCTTTCCCTTACTAAAGACAAGTGTCTTTAAATTGGGAGAACAGATACCGATAAAAGGAAATGGGAACGGAAGGCAGTGAAGAGATGAGCAGGAGAGCGTCCAACCCCTTCCACTCCGTCCACATCCGCCAGCACAGCCACACCTGCACTGAGTGCCCTCTGAAGGACTGCTGAGGTGCCAGCTGGATGGGGGAGGATCTGGAAGCCACATCCAGTGTGGAAACACTGGAGAGAGGGGTTCACATAGAAAAGCATAAGCAAGGAATAACTGCTGCTTTCAAATATGTGAAAGGTCATCATTTAGAAGTGACAGTGGACTTACTGTCTGTGATTTAAAGGAGGGAAAGGCAGGGGAGTAGGACAAATGGAGATCAAATTCCAGTTCAAGGTAAAAGATGTTTTTAATTAAGGGACTCCATCAGCAGAATGGGATGCCTCACCAAGTACTGAAAGAATCCACCACCACCACTACCACTTCAGCTGAAAATGATGAATCAGGGATGGCAAGGAAGACACTATTTCCCTGGGGGAGAGGCTGTACTTAATGACTTCTAAGACCTCAATCATCCCTCAAGACTATAGGATTTTATAACAACTCGAAGGAGTCCTAAGAAGGGTCAGATCTACTAAATAACAAGAATTGACTTTAAATATTATAAAACCCCAAATAGTATCCCTCTTAAGTAAGACTCAACACCACCAAATTCTACAAAACTGCCATTTGGAAAGTCTCTTGGACTCTCTGGAAATTGTGATCTATGCTTAAGTGGTGCTGTGCGTTGAATGTCCTCCCAAAACTCACTGAAGCATGATCCCCTTGTAACAGTGTTGAAAGAGTGGGAAATCAGACTATGGCAGTGTTGAAAGTGGGGCCTTTAAGAAGTGATTGGATCATGAGCATGCCCTTGTGAATGGATTCGTCCATTCATGGAGTAATGGGTTAACAGTTTAGTGGATTGTTGTGGGTTTGACACTCAGGGCTGCATAAGCAGAACAAGTGAGCATGTGAGAGATCTTGCCATTCTCACCAAGTGACACTCTGCAGTGGTATAGCGAGTCACCACAAAGAAGGCCCTCAAAAGATGTGTTCCCTGGACCTTGGACTTCCCAGCCTCTGAAATTGTAAGAAATAAATTTAATTTCTTTATAAATTATCAAGTTTCAGGTATACTATTATAGGCAACAGAAAACAGACTAATACAAGTGGCTCTAATTGTTTCAATAGACTAGGAGGTACTCTGACTGCATGGGAGAAGCTGGTGTTCTAGAAACACCCTGAGTGATGTCATCCCTCCTATGAGTCTGTGAAGTCCAAGCTGGCCTAGGAATGACAAGCTCGCAAAACTGACAAGAGTTATAGTATAGCGAGTTCACTAAAGGGGGCGATTCGTGATAATATATTTTAGTTTTTCCTTTAGCCACTAGTAAATCCCTCTGAAGCACTCATTTTAAACTGTGGGTCACAATCTATTAGTGAATCACAAAATCAGTTCCATGGGTCTCCATCAGCATTTTTATTTTATTTTTTTAGTGAAGTAGAACACAATAGAACGGACTAGAAAATATCAGAATGCACTGCACACTGCAAGCATAAATACTGTTTTGTGAAGCTTTTGTTTTAGTTAAATATGTGTATGTATCTGTGGGTGTGTCATGATTAAATTAAATATATTTCTTACAGTGGTTGCCCTGAGGAGATAAAGCTTAGGACTAGGGACACAACCATGCAGAAAGGGCAGGAAGACAAGACACTAAGGGTTGAGATGACAAGTTTTAATGCCACAGCCAACACCTGCAATCACACTTGGCTCCTTCAGAGAACGAGACTTTGGGACTAGACTTTGTAGGGTCAGGGCACACATAGAAGCCCGTGAGCGATGGGAGCAACATTCCTGCTTCTAGTGAGCGGGGTAAGGTATGTACGTCTCATGATCACAGTACTTTATTCTTAAGTAAAACCCTTAATTTGCTCTGGCCTCCAAAAGGCTCTAATCCCAGGCCCCCAATTATTTTCAAGGGATGTTCTCTTCAACTGAGGCCAGTTTAAACCAAGGCCACCTCAGTAAGTCCTTTTAGTCCTTCAGTAAGTCTCTATCCATGATATGTACATCTAGGTTTGTGCAGGTAGGGAACACGCATGACAGAGAACCGCTTTGGTGGATTTAAACCAAGGCCACCTCACCAGAGCAGCCTTTTAGTCCTTCAGTAAGTCTCTATCCGTGATATGTACATCTAGGTTTGTGCAGGTAGGGAACACGCATGACAGAGAACCGCTTTGGTGGTGCTGGACAGGATGGTGTTTCTTCACTGGATTTTGGTGACTGCTTCATGGATGGAGTTGGCCACATAATCTAGATTTTTGGTGGTTAAGCCACACATGTTGATCCGGCCACTTGGCAGCAGGTAGATGTGCTTTTCATTGATCAGATATTCAACCTGCTTGGCTGTTGAAAACCAAAAGAAGACACAATCAGAGTAGTAAGGATCCTTTATGCAGTGGACGTCCAGCAATTATATGACAATTACAGTGTTTTTTCTTTCCCCTTATCATAAAGAAGTAAAACAAAAGGAGCTATTTTGTCCAACTGACAAACAGAAAAATACGCTCACCAGAATCTGGAAAACACCCTTATTAGTTAACTTTCTAATCCGCAGAAAGTTCCATATGGCTACTTCTGATGGGAATTTTAATCTGGGACTACCTTCCAACTGCACATTAACCAGGACTCCCCTATCAACTAAAAACCACCATCAGACTTAAGAACATTCAACTGATATGAAAAAGTGGTTATAAAAGGCTTCCTTTAGCAATTACCTAACCTGTGTTAGCTTACCCCTGAACTCCTGGCAGCAACCTCCCTTTGACATTTCATTTTAGCAGTACATTGGACAAGGCCTGATGCACGAGCTACTTGATAAATTCTGTATGAATGAACCAGCAGGCTGCAAAACCACACAGACCTCTTTCACCTAGCGCCATCACACCTTTGTCCATTTCTCAGCTGTCTCTCTCAGATGCAGGAGGGTTTTCCCATGTTTGCAGAAATGCATCACAGAGAAGACAAGAACGGACTGCCTGTACTTCATTTCTGCTACAATCCCTAGAGTGGTTTATTTTTTTGGAAATCTATGATAAAATTTTAGCTGATTTTTGCCTAAGTAATTAGAACCCTTAAGACACCACCAATCTGAGGGAATAGGATAATAATAATAAAATCATAATAATCAGAGGAACAAACACTATGTGCCAAGCAGTGTTCTAAGCACTTTATTTTAGTCCAGTTAATCATGATGATAACCTTATCATCTTCGTTTTACAGATAGGGCAAAGAGAAGTCAAATGGCCTTCCCAAGGTCACACAGCTGGTCAGTGGTGGCTGTGGGATTTTAAGGCGGGCAGTGTGGCTCCCAGGTCTGGGCTGCTCACCAGTGCAGTGTTCAACACTGCACTGCCTCTCAATGGAAGTGGAAAACCTGGACTCTGGACTCTGTGCTGCCCACATGCCCTTCTAAACAAACGATC